CCCCAAAACCCCAAAACCCCAAAACCCCAAAACCCCATTTTTAAATGGTTTAATTGGAGATTTAGATCGAGGAAGAGCATTAACTGATTAAATCAGAATCGTTGATCTCCAGGATCTTCCTGTCCCTTGAGGTTGATGACATTGTCTTCCGCAGTACAATATGTCTCCTTCTTTCTCTTTGTTGAACTGAGAAATTATTACTTCTCTTGATAAATAATTTCTTTTTAAACACAAAGTCACGGAAATCATTTAGATGTTGGTGTTTCTATTGATAATGTATATATTTACCTTCTCGGTTTTATACAGAGCTGCTCTATCATCATATTGACTATTTGAATGCTCAACCTGTCTTAGTTTTGACTTCTCTATTTCTTCCTTACTTGGCTTTTGCACTTTGATTAAAGGATGTCTGAATGGTTTTTGGGAGTTCATAAAAACTCCTTTCAAGTTAGGCTCTCCAACTCTTGAACTATACAAAGTAATATCTCCCCACATTCCTATCTTACAGGTGATAATTCGCATTAATCTCCATTTTATTTAGCTCCTAGGTACCCATGTGAGCTACTTCTTTGACTCTAAACCCATAAATTCCCTCTATACCAAATACGCCATTCTAGGAGATTCGCTTGTCTTAACATCCCTTGGCTCAATAGACTCCTTCCTTTCCCTCCCTGTAATCATCACCTTCTGAAATCTCGTCACCACTCTCCCTCCATCTTCTTCCTTAATCTCTTGACCAAATCTCTAAATCCACATAAATTCCAAAAATCCAAAATTTCCAGTACAAAATTCCTAAAAATTTCCCTTCTTCCAACCCTCCACTGAAATTTTAGCAGATTTCCAAAAAAAATAGAGGAATTTATAAAGTTTAGGGCATTTCAAGCTAAAATTTTGTGTGGAGCTGGAGGAAGAGGACTAGAAGGAAATTTTAGTGGAAAATTTGGAAATTTTTAAGGGGCCTTAAGAGGCTGGTTGAGGAGGGTAAGTTTAGGGTGTGGGGATTTTGGGGGGTTGGGGTAGAGATTTACCTTTTGGAGGTGGGTTACTCATTTTGGCAGGGGGGTTTCTGAAAGGTCGGGTATTTTGTCATGCTGAGGAGAGTTTATCTTCCTCTGATATGTCTGAGATAGTGATGAAGAGCTTACTCGATAATTAGATTGCTCTCCATAGATTAATCTAGACAACTTTTTAAGTCCTGTTGACTCAGTAAAGCTGTTACTCTTAGACTTGTTCTTATTTTGATCAGCCCATCTGACTCTCTTATCTCTCAATCTAGCACGAGTAAAGGATGTAGAGGCGGTTTTTTTTCTATCAAATTTATTTTCCGAATAATTTATTGATGTTTATCTCTCTTGATCCCACAAGTGTATTATAATAAGTATTGAACAGTAAGGTATCTCTCTTGTCTAGTCTTCCTTCTTTACTTACTTTTGTGATGATCCCTAATAATTTATTCGGCACCAACTTCATTCTTTGACTTTTAGGAAGCTGACAAAAAATCGGCTTATCCTCATCTACCCCCTTTGATAAAAATCCCTTTGAAATAACATTCTGAAACTCTATCATTTTCATATTATTACAATAATTTATCCCAAAACAGGGGTTTTGGGGTTTTGGGGTTTTGGGGTTTTGGGG